GCGTAGCCAACCTCAACGTGATAGGCACGTTAGCTTAATCGAATAAAATAATTCGAAGTGGTCTGTATTCTGTCGAAACTGCCAGACGCGGATCGCGATTTCGATCTTTTTGGATCTCATCAGCTAGTCGCAGGCAGCTCCGACAGAACACAGACCACTTCGAATTATTTTAAAGTCAACGTTGATAATATAATTGATCTTAGCAAAATAAATTTGCCTATAAATACGTTTAGTACTTGTTCATTTTTGGGAGAAGTGATCATTAGAAAATCGCTCCGGTGGTCAACCCAAACTACGCCGTCAATGGTTTAAATTGTACAATGATTTGTTAGGTTTAAGTGAACACGCAACCGCTCAGTGAAAATTGAAAAGTATTCGTTTTTCTGCGTAATTGTTGCATCATTTAGTAGAGTGGTTTCAAAATAATGATTACCTACAACTAGACAGTAGCGCAGTTACCTACCGAACAGTAGTACGTAAAACATTCCAAAAACAATTCAACATTTGATATAGATATTCCATAAGTGTTTTTTTTGTTCATATCTACAAGAATTCCCGATACAATTACCAACAAGCATTGTAAATTTTATCAAAGTAGAGCCGTTAAGCTAATCAATTTTAAATCGAATTGTAATTAAATGTGTATGTATGTAGATCAGATATTATTTTTATAATTATTGCGTTTAATTTATTATTTTTTTTATTAATTAGGTAGACAATAAATATTTTATCATTCATCACAATAGAGCACATACTGAATTGGAAACATACATTTTTGTATCGAACTAAGAAGGGGTCTAAAATTAATATTACGTACCTACGCTTGCAAATCAATGAACATTTAAGAAACAAATTGCTACAGTACGTCTTAAAATTAAATAACTTGTAGAATCCTCTAAAAAACAATTTCAAACCACACGTCAAAACACGATATTAAGCATCCCAAGTAGAGACTGAAGAGAATGTTCTACAATTTCGCCAAAGTTTTCCACTGTTTTAGATTATATACCATTGTTTTTTACGTTCGAAATATTCAAATTATTGATTCGAACTTTTTGTACAATTGTACCACATATATAACTCGAAGGACCATAGAACAATACGAAGGAAACTGTGTTTATGCGTGGAAGTCGGTAAGAAAAAAAGAGATAGGGACATATTTTAGATGTAGGAACAGGAGTAAAAAGATCAAAAAGGTAGACGCAGATGAGAATACAGTTTACAAATAGTTAGGGATATGGGATGTTCCAGTTTTAGGGAAATGCGAATACTGGCTCATATTTTAGGATAGATAATAGTGTAGATNTGAAAATAACTAAAGTCTAGTTACTCTCAGCGAGTCTACAAAAGAACTGTTCTATCAAACTTAAAATTTTGTACACTAGATTCCGAAATCGACAAATTATCCCTCCCAATAACGAGGTTATTGACGGTAATATCAATGCACAATATACTAACCATGGGATAAACACTCATTTATGCTTCTGCGAATTTGCCTACGTGACCGTAGATTTCGGAAATATATTTAAGTCCAATAACAATATAATTTACACTAAAGGTATAATAAAATATGAAAATGTTTATGCCATAAAGTCCCTGCGTCGGCATATCACAAATAAGGTTCCTTAACAACCATGTTACAAAAAAAAGGAAAATCCTTTCAATTTTTATCTAATAGTGACCACAAAACAGTTTATTAAAAGTTACACTGCTCATCCTCTATCAATAAATTTACAGAGCACCTTCCTAACTTATTGGCTTCTAGAATCGTTGATTAATGTAGTCATCAAGACCCTGTATGTCTTTCAATTCTGTAGGACTATTCTTTAATAGTGCCAAACAAGCCGACATCTTCCTCTGTCTATGACAAATTCTACACTGGTATAATCACAACAACATTAAAGACCAACATCAGCATTTACAATGTGAGAGCCTCTCAGGGATTATAGGAAATGTCATTTATTTTATCATTATTTTGTGTATGGAGGGTAGAGGTAAGGAGTATATCTCCATTGTGAAAAACTGTTCTTCAAACTGCGTTAGACTAGGGTGGCGCTACAGTAACAACAGGGTAAATTTCAAATAAACCGCCAAAAATTATTGGAACCCAGGACAAAATTACATTGAACTAAGGAAATACTTGATGTTTGGTGTACTGGATTGTCACCAACTGCACTAATCAATAAAAGTATTGAATTTTTTAACTCGTCAACAACTGCTACATTTATACCATACCATTGGGAGGGTTTTTGAACTATTATTTATTGCTTATAGTTGGACACACTTCAGCATTCCTTCCATATGGGATAGATCTCCTTACCTCTACCCGCCATAATTTTGTGCTAATGATTAATTGCTCTGATCCAACGGTACTTGAACCTTGACGAAGCTCTTGTACAAATTAGAGTGGATGGACCGACTTGCGAATTTCATGATTTAGGGAGCCGAACCATAGGTTTAACCATAATGGGGGTGTTCTTAATGAGAAATCAGACCAAGGCAAGTCCCTGAAGGAGGGCAGCAGCTCTTTTAGTACTCATGGTGGCAGAGATTACGAGGATTCGTATGGCACTCTGATGAACAATACTGGGATGTGGAAGGCAACGGGAAACCACCACATTATATCCCAAGAAAAACAAACCGAACTCAAATGATGGCGTCTTCTGGGGTAAAGCATTCCGGACGTAAACTAGTCCCCCTTTCGGATATCCAGGTGGGGACTACCTCGGGGGATGTCATCAATAAGTGCAATAAGGGAAGGTGAAATATTTCACTAGTCGGAGCGTGGAATATTAGAAGAATGAGATAAGTAGGGAAATTGGAGAATATGAAAGTTGAGAAGAATAGACTAGAATTAGATATAGTAGGCATTAGTGAAGTCCGTTGGTCAGAAGCTGGAGACTTCTGGAGTGGGGACTTAAGAGTAATACATACAGGATCGGTAGAAGGTAATTCGGGGGTAGGAATTGTAATGCGTAGGAAAGCAGGGCAGAGTGTAGAAAGTTATTTACAAAAAAGGGATAAGATAGTTATAGTTAAATTTAATTCAAAGCCACTTATGATTGTAACAGTGAAGGTTTACATGCCTACATCATCTTACAATGATGAAGACGTAGAAGCAGTTTATGCATATATAGAAGATGTGTTAGAAGGGGCAGGAAAACCTATTAGTTGTAGCAGACTTCAACGCACTAATAAGTTAAGGTAAAGACGGTACAATAGCAGGTTCTTTTGGATTAGACAATAGAAATGATAGTGGACCTATACGTTTTGTCTACGCTGGCGCATTTTGGAAAATTTTTGAACCATTATTTACTGCTTACAGCTTTTCTAACATTCTCCCAATATGAGATACTTCATCTTACCTCTACCCTCCGTAACTATGGAGAAAGAGTAGAGTTATTATAGTGACGGATGCTACATTCATCTGCACTTTTCACTTAAAGATGAGACTCATATCGGAGAGTGAAAATAGTTTGCTGTTGTCTACCAAAATGGAAGAAGGTATCATCAAAGGAAGGTGGAATCTTAAGTCTGTACCACGACCAAGACTCGAATATTCAACATCCTTAAAATAACACAGGCTTTACAATTAGATTTAGCAAACAGTGCTACAAGTATACATTGAAGATGTACTTCTACAGCTCATAGATAGACGACCATTTAATTAAAAGACAAATCACAATATTGATAAATAATGTTTCAAGTTAAGAAACAGTTTTATCTTTTTCAATAAACATTAATTATGTAGGTACTTCTGAGACAATGGCTTTCAATAAATCTGCGATTTGTACAGAAGTGATCAGCTTTTTTTGTTTGATTAAGGATAACATACTAATCAGTCTGTCATAACTTTGAAATTAAAACACCTTATAAATTTTTGAACTGTTTAATTTACGCGTTAACTTTTAAAATAAGGCACTTAACCGAGCACACTATCTTATCATATTAGCCGACTCGTTGATTTATTTAATCAGACAGTTTTGTTATTAGCTTGTTCCACGTGTGCTATAAATCATCATGTGACATCATGGTCCTTTCCAAAAACTCAACAAAATGTTTAAAGCTTGCGAAAATAGCCCACAACGAAATAGCCTTTAGTGTAACTAATCGTAAGTAGAAATGTGTAGTAAACCAAAAGAGAAAACGAAAAGAAAAACTTCAGCTTTATTGTTATTTCATTACCAACGGCCGACGTTGGTGGACGAACGGCCCTGGTGACGTATCTGTGGTACAAAATGGTAGGTAAATCAGAACACTCTCTGCAATCTTCTTTAGAAGCCGGGAGAATAGATGATGGTAGTTAGGGGAAGGTAGATAACGTAATCCTGATGTGTCAAATGACCAATCACGTTAGGAAAGGCTACACGTGGATTCAGGGAGATATCACATAGGTTATCTATATTATTGATATGCAAAGATTTAAAAATCAATTGAAGAACCGTAGTAGTTATTCAGGATCGGATTAATGTAGTTAACGGTCATAACCTGATAGTTATGAAGACCAACCTTAAATAAAAAATCATGCAGGAGAGGGAAGGTGGGAAGCGTTTTGATATGGAAAAACTAAATGCATAATAGGTTAAGTTGAAGGATAGATGACATACAAAGGGAGGCGGGAGAAACGAATGACAGGGACGTAAACAAAGAGTGAAACTGCATTAAAACGTGTGTTGATTCCTATGCTAGAGATACATTAGGTCTTAAACAAAACGAAAGTAGGAAACCCTGAATAAAAAGCGAGGTTTTAGGATTAATAATAATCAGAAGGTCAAAAAAATTATAAGGCAATAGGGTTGGAAATAATTAGAAAGTGTAGGGTTGTAAGTTAAGGAAAAGTGAATTGATATGAGGTGTAAAGAACTAGAAGGAAAGTTTCCAGGTAAAACAGATGAGGTTTATAAATAATTTAATTAAAAGAAATTTCAGAAAAGATTTATTATTATAATTATTAAAGATATTTTAAATGCATGTTCTTTTATTTTATACTATGCCCGACACATGGTTCTTTAATTAATGCATATACATGAGTAACTTATTATCACTCATTCATAAGTTCAATATGGAGTGGAAGTTGCAAAAACTTGACGCATGATGTTCTTTCGGCATAATCGCAAGTTTTTAATTGGTTGTTGAAAATTAAACCAGCTGGACAATCGAATTTTACAGGTACTCCATTGGTGCATTCATAGAATTGATTGCATTGCAGAACGTTAGGGAAAAGGACACCATCACCGGCGATATTACAATACTCTGCAAATTTAGAGCAGCATTTAATGAAATTTATTTGTCAAATTCATCTCTCCCCAATACACTATGCGTATTGTAAAAAATCATTTTNAGGAGGAATCATCGTCTTCTATGACGCCGTCGTTTACATATTGATTAGAGGGTGCAACTTCTTCGGAGGAGGAGGAATCATCTTCTTGAAAAGTGTCATCGTTTCCATATTGATTAGAGGGTGCAACTTCTTCTTCGGAGGAGGAGGAATCATCTTCTTGTACAACATCGTCTCCATTCACATATTCAACATGGTATGGAAGTTGCAAAAATTGAACACAGGAAGCTCTGTTGGGATAATCACAACGTTTCGAAAGGTCGTTGAAAACTAAACCAGCTGGGCAGTCGAATTTTACAGGCACCCCATTGGCGCATTCGTAGAACTGATTGCATCGAAGAACGTTAGGGAAGAGGGCGCCTTCGCCGAGGAGACTACAATACTCTACGAATTTAAAACAGCATAATTTAATGAAACTTATCTACCAAATGCATCTGGATACAGTGGATTTAGTTTGACGAGAATTGCAAAACTAAAGCAACAACTTTTTCAAAAAAGCTACATTCTTCAGCAGGTGGTTGAAAAGACTATTTCATTTAATGCGAAGTTACATCGATATATATTTTGTATACGAGTGGATGCGATTTATAAATATACTACCTTTGTTTCTTGCATCAACGTAGCTTTGGTAGTTTGAACATCCAGAGTGCTGTGGGAGTACACAACTTCCATATGTTGAACTGTAGAGAAGACCATCATCACACCGTCTAGATACCAATTGTCCAAAACTGCATTGATAGTATTTACTACAATCATTTCCACTTGCATATGAAGCTCCTAGGTTGCCGAATCCCCAGCAGACGCCTGTTAAAGGAACGAAAACCACGTTTAATTATTACTATATTACTATACATTGTTATAACATGTGTTCGTATCGCTGACCAACTTACCATAACCATAGGCAGTGGAGATGATGCCACAAAATGCGATAAGAGCGATGACTAAAATAAAAGGATTAATTACTCAGTTTGTAATTCTTATTGCTGTAGAGCGGGTGTGAAATAAAAGTCAGTGTAGGGGTAAAACCTACCTCCTTTTTACGGTGTTATTAAAAGTAAGATCTACCTATGTCAGTTTTAACAAATTTGTGACCATGAAAATGTTATGTTGTTATTTTAATATTAAAAATTTGTGAAAGGTAGGGTAGATTCATATTTTTAATAAAATCCAGTTAATCTTCACTTCTGACTTCACTTAATTTGAATGAAACAATATGAAGTATATAAAGAAATTGATAATATTGAAGATTGAAAAGCAATTCTATTCTTCCAATATACCTAATACTAAAATGATACTGTTGGGGTAGATTTCGTAACTGTAAATTGATAATGTCCAAAGAACGTGGTGAATGGAAAGTGCTTTGCTTAGTACGAGCATCAGGTGAAATGACAATTTCGATTATAATTTGATAATTATTTGCCTTTACTAAATTTTATGCAAATAATTTATATCAATGACGTGTCTACTCAAAAAAACTGATAATGTGGTGTCACATGCGAATGATATGATTGTCATTAGTTTAGAGGGAACTGAATTGAGAACGAATGAGCATACAATGTTAATTCAGCAGTAGCTAAATTAAAAAAAAAAACAAAATAAACGTAAGGATATCGGTGAATACCTATACGACATAAAATTTATGAGGATGGTCAAGTAAAAAATGTAAATATTATAGGATATTTATGTTTTGCCTTTCATAATCGAAATACTCCAAGTAATGGTGTACTGAGGATGGTCAATTTGCTACTATCTATACTATAAAATGGATGGTCTAAATCGTCTTTAAGGATTGTGATACGACGATTTATGACATTTCCAGGAACTTATCTTGAGCTGTAGCTACTAGTGTGGGCAAGATTATATAGATAGAATTGACCTGACGAAGCGACTGAATGAAATAACAACGCGATTTCAGGCAAAATTTTCGAAAGCGATCTACTCATTTCAATTGAACTAAGTTACATGAAGAAAAATAAAGATTCATGTAAATTATTTAAAAGCTACTGTTAATAGTTAATCTTACCTTTCATACTGGAGCTTTGTTTTCTTTTGCTTTGAGCACTGAAACAGATACAGGACGAAAGGAGAGTGCGGTAGCTTATATAGGTGCTAATACAGACTTTTATCTAATGTATGTACTTGAAAAATTCACATTTTAATGTAATTTAATAATTGTTAATTAAGATTGATTTTTTTTGTCGGCACGTTTTTATAATTTTAGGAATTTTACATTCCTTCTGATTTTTTTCATTGTAGCGTCTGCCAATTACGTAAATTTGATAATTGTCCACAGTATCATTGTATGCCTATACAATAAGTAAAACAAGTACACTTCAAATGAATACTTAGTTCAGTTAAAAAAGAAACACGTTTATCAAAGGGGGCACTCTCAAGTATCCTTAAGAAACAGTTGTCTGAGAAATATCGTGATTCAAGTGACTAAATTGATTGTATCTAATTTTACTTCGACGAATACGTGAAGGTAAGTAAATTAATATTAAAATTTTCAAGCGTTCGAAATGTGGTGTTATAGGCGAATGATGAGGATAACGTGGATAGAAAAGATTAGAAATGAAGAAGTATTAGAAAGAATAGGAGAACAGACGACTCTATGGAAGTCAATAAGAAATAGGCGAAATAGGCTGGTAGGACACCTTCTCAGGCATGAAGGTCTAGTCAGAGAGATACTAGGGGCAGAAACGGGAGTTAGGAGGGGGTAGAGGTAGACCTAGATTAGATTATTGCTGTTCGCAAATAGTTAAGGGTGTGGGTTGTTCTAGTTTTACGGAAATGCGAAGTTTAGCTCAGGATAGGAAAGAGTGGAGGTGCGTGACCAACCAGCCTTAGGACTGATGACCTTATGATGATGATGCTTCCATGTTCTTTTTTTTTGATGAATTTGCACGACATTACGCCTTTTGACATTATAAACAAAACGTGGAAATTATACACTTCTGTGCTTCGTTTAGGGAGAAATTTTTGTATGACCTTCCAGAGCATGCAATCGCCTATTAGGCTACAATTAGATATAGAAGGGACTTAGGTGAAGGGTTAAAATAGTAGCATTTATAGAGCTCCAGAAAACGAATGATATCGCCGATGGGTGTGTGTGGTAAAATGAACACTTAGAAAGCTATAGTAATGAACCAACGAGATATAAATTGTGGCGTATCTCAGGGGTCAATTTTAGGTCCTCATTTATACTCAATATTAGTTTCCTCAGTTGAAGGAGCTTCGCAGATGATAGATACTGCTTTTCTATATGTGGGTTTCGACATAAATTTATTAAATTGGATACCTAATCAACAACGACTTAACAAGGGACTCATAGTGGATAATATACATACTTTAAAATATTACTCAATACGAAGGAAACTGTGTTTATGCGTGGAAGTCGGTAAGAAAAAAAGAGATAGGGACATATTAGATGTAGGAACAGGAGTAAAAAGATCAAAAAGGTAGACGCAGATGAGAATACAGTTTACAAATAGTTAGGGATATGGGATGTTCCAGTTTTAGGGAAATGCGAATACTGGCTCATATTTTAGGATAGATAATAGTGTAGATGTACGTCAAATAGTCTTCGCACTAACAATTATACAATGGCGATACACATTTAATTCATTAACTATATAATACCTGCATTTTAATAATTCTCTGTTTGTTTTTCTTACACATAAAAGCATCGCCCATTGCCCTTCTCCATGTATCCGCGCCAGTCTGTTCATGTGGTAAAGGGTTGACATTTTGGTGAGGTTAGCTCAAAAAAGGCAACAAAAATGACTAGGTAAATTATTTTTGAAACAACGTTCACGGTATTATTGTTCCTTATAAAGAGCATAAAGGAGTCTAACAGTAAACAATTGTGTTCTTAAATTTACTTCAAGGATATACAGTAGGAAATGATGCCTAATAGACAAATAAAAAAGTTTAAGAATACTACAAAATTGTTTAATCATACGGTTTATGTAAAAAAGGGGAAGCATTTTCTATTGCCTAAGATAATAAAGTAGCATCAATGTACGCAGAAGCAGAGAAATAGAACTGGAGCCCTTTCTGACTGCACTCCTATAAGCTCTCCATAAGTTCCTGCTATATGATCCTAACGCTACACAATCTATTCCAAAATTCGACACTTTTATAACATGTACGTACATTACCCATCTATCGTCAAATCTATCATATATCAGATTCAAATCTCTATCAAAAAATACCTATCAGTCAAATCAAAGAGTGCAAGAATTATCTAATGCAGTACACCTATTATTAATTTATCAACAAATATCTATTTAACTATCAACGATCCTGACGTAACATATACTCGATAACATGTCTTAAATAGTCAAGTTCTTGTGCATAGTGTAAATACCTTTATCTACCAAAATATAAAACATTGAGTTTCATTCAGTATAAATAACGATAGCGACAATAACAAACAATAAACTGCAAATGAAATACCAACGTAAGCTACTAAATTACATTGTCAGTTATAGCATATGAAAACTCAAATATCTAGAAAAACTAAGGGAAAAGTAGACCCAAACTGACCGATGGATAGCTAATCATAAGAAAAGTGTCCGCGACTTTGATTATAAGTCCATATATTGAACTTTGTAGTATAGTTTCAAATATAATTTATAGATCTACAATACATTTTCGCGAGAGGGAACTATTTTTAAGATTTTACGACTACGACGCCACTGGAAACATCCTAAATGTGGCGATCCAGTCGACTACCTTGAAGCTTCTGAGATTTATTGTACATCGGGCTATTCGGGATCTGTTCTGAGAGTAGTGTCGTGTTTAACATTTTTCTTGCCTAAATGCGTTTTGGTAGCTTCATGTGAAAGAAACTTTGTAGGTTATAAATACGTATTTAAGGTCCACAGTCAGTCAAACTCCATCAATCTATCTATCCATTTTGTCCATTGAAAAGGAAAGTCAACATTTTAGAAAATACTACAAATGGCGCGGTTAAACGCCATCTGTAGTACGATGCTACATTTTAGGATTACGTATGCCCCAACAAGGTCCACTTGTGTTTATATCTACTTGCTGAAAACGAATCCCGGCGTAGCTCACCTTAACGTGATAGACACGTTAGCTCAATCGAATAAAATAATTCGAAGTGGTCTGTATTCTGTCGAAACTGCCAGACGCGGATCGCGATTTCGATCTTTTTGGATCTCATCAGCTAGTCGCAGGCAGCTCCGACAGAACACAGACCACTTCGAATTATTTTAAAGTCAACGTTGATAATATAATTGATCTTAGCAAAATAAATTTGCCTATAAATACGTTTAGTACTTGTTCATTTTTGGGAGAAGTGATCATTAGAAAATCGCTCCGGTGGTCAACCCAAACTACGCCGTCAATGGTTTAAATTGTACAATGATTTGTTAGGTTTAAGTGAACACGCAACCGCTCAGTGAAAATTGAAAAGTATTCGTTTTTCTGCGTAATTGTTGCATCATTTAGTAGAGTGGTTTCAAAATAATGATTACCTACAACTAGACAGTAGCGCAGTTACCTACCGAACAGTAGTACGTAAAACATTCCAAAAACAATTCAACATTTGATATAGATATTCCATAAGTGTTTTTTTTGTTCATATCTACAAGAATTCCCGATACAATTACCAACAAGCATTGTAAATTTTATCAAAGTAGAGCCGTTAAGCTAATCAATTTTAAATCGAATTGTAATTAAATGTGTATGTATGTAGATCAGATATTATTTTTATAATTATTGCGTTTAATTTATTATTTTTTTTATTAATTAGGTAGACAATAAATATTTTATCATTCATCACAATAGAGCACATACTGAATTGGAAACATACATTTTTGTATCGAACTAAGAAGGGGTCTAAAATTAATATTACGTACCTACGCTTGCAAATCAATGAACATTTAAGAAACAAATTGCTACAGTACGTCTTAAAATTAAATAACTTGTAGAATCCTCTAAAAAACAATTTCAAACCACACGTCAAAACACGATATTAAGCATCCCAAGTAGAGACTGAAGAGAATGTTCTACAATTTCGCCAAAGTTTTCCACTGTTTTAGATTATATACCATTGTTTTTTACGTTCGAAATATTCAAATTATTGATTCGAACTTTTTGTACAATTGTACCACATATATAACTCGAAGGACCATAGAAACGCCGAGTTGTAAATATAACGAATTTATTGTACAACTTACAACTACGACTTATTCTAATTTATTATAAATATTGATTTTTATTAATGTATTATGAAAATAACTAAAGTCTAGTTACTCTCAGCGAGTCTACAAAAGAACTGTTCTATCAAACTTAAAATTTTGTACACTAGATTCCGAAATCGACAAATTATCC